CTTGATCCTATTTAGGTTGCTTAGCAGCAATACTGTAATTGCAATCAAAAGAAACAGGGAACAGAGAAACCCTTTCTCTTCAGTGTAAAAATTAACCCCACAATATAGGGGTTCCCTTGTTTCTATGGTCTGGTAGCAGATGTCCGTTACTAATTCTGTGTTCAAAAAGTGTTCGTAAGCACAGAAGGAATGTAATCGCTCCAAGACTGACTTTTTATAGGAACTCTTTCTCCTAGGGGCTCCCCAGAATTCAAGACAGGCTTGCGTATGCGTGATGGGCTGCTTGTTTGTGGTGCAGCGTAGAGACAAACACGCTCTCTTTTTTCTTTCTGTCTCTTTCTGGCAGTCCCAGTATAAGAGCCACTTCGTTGCTGCAAGCTTAAATAATCAAAAGACTGGTAGCTCTGCTGCTGGTGCTAGTGGCTGGACCAGCGCTGGGAGCTTGAACTCAGTACCGACGAGTTCAGCGCAGCAAAATGCCGCAAATCCTGACAGCCCAATTGCAGCCGCCGCAGCAGCAAAGGGTGTTCCAGGTTTCACCAGCACGGGGAATTTGAGTAGCGTTCCCACCTTTCCAAGTGTCGGCGTACAGGGCTTCAACAACACAAACGCCAGCACCAACAATCGAGAAGGCGGCGGCGGCAGCACCGGCGTTGCTGCAGGCGGCGGTGGTGGCGGCATTGTCAGAGAACGATACAACGACAACCGGAACAGTCGCCACAATGAGGTCCCGCGCCGTGGAGAGGGTGGTGGTCGCTACAATGATGTGCAACGCCATGGAGAAGGAGGCGGTCGCCACAGTGACGCTTACCGCCACGGAGAGGGCCGACATGGCGACAACCATCGCCACGGTGAAAGCCGGCACTTCGCTGATGTGGGCAGTGGCAATCGCAATAATGGTGATAGCAGGAATAGCAACGAAGGTAGGAACAACGAGAACAGGAATGGTGAGAACAGGAAGGATGCCAACAGCCGAGACAACAAGACAGATGGTTTTGCTGTCCCAGAGCCCCCAAAACGTAAGAAGAGCCGGTGGGACAGTTAAAAGCTGGTGTTTCACAGCCTGGAATCTCTGCAGGTAGTGTTGTCTTTTTCCAGAGGATTTCTTGGGGTTTTTGGTAACTGGTTGTTGAGCAGCTGGGGGAGGAGAAGGAAACCATGAAAACTCCCCATGCAAATCTGGGCCGGTACATCCGCGGACAGATTCACTCTAATGATGTGTACACACAATGCTTAGTCAAAGAGAAATCATTTTGATAAAGCTCCCTGGGTTCTGCTTTTAAACATTCAGTGCTCAAGTGACTCTCTGCTGGATTTAAACAGATCTTCTTGACAAGAAAGAAGCTGTTTCACATCCTTGGAACGTTAAGAAACTGTTGTCCATAGAAGTATAAAGTAGTCTTTTCTTAACCAGCGTTCACATTTAAAAAAACAGTCCATCTAGAGATGCTCAGGACCCACTGTTAAACATTAATCTTTCAGCAATTTGTTCAGTATGGTGAGTTCTTCCCCAACCTCTTCTTTTCACATATTCTCTTATCCCCAAATAATTTGGCCTCCAGGTTGCCCCTTACATCTCTCCCCATCAACTAAGAATGTGTCAATTTGCATTGCTGAAGGTGGGATGAAGCAAGTTGATTTTTCTTTCCCTTTTTTTTATTTTTTATGAGGATGTTCAAGGGATCCTTCTCCAGCCCAGCTAACCACGAGTTCGCGTGTAGTGTAGGATGGGCTCCCTGCCTTGTTTGTGGTCAGTACATCAATCCCAATCCCATTGCCCAGGTATTTTTTTCTTTTAAAGAACCTCTTCTTCCCTAATAACCTTCATTTTGGTGGAAGCCTGCAGAGCAAACTTGTCTCTCTGCTGTGCCTATGCGCCCTCTGTTATGAGAGGGTTGAGTGCTTTCTTCAAATTAAAAACAAAAAAGGGAAAAAAATGTAGATACGCCACAACAATCAGAGGCTGGTGCCCGCCACGAAGCGTAGCTAAACGAAGAGGCTTCATTCAGAAATTCAGGGACCTGCTGCTCAGAAGCCTTTAGGGAGAACCCGAAAAGCGATCGATGAAGTGGAACAGCTCAAATATCGCCCCATATTGGACACATGTAGTTAAAACTGTAAAATCTTGCTTGACCGTTTTTAACTCGTCGTGTGTATTACCCATTTTTTAACTTTTTTTTTTTTTTTTTTTTTTTTTTTTGCGCCATAAAGGTAAGGAAGAACTCTTTTGTTGAAACATGTCAGCACCCACCTCTGTCTTGTTTCTACTGAAAGAAGTATCAGAAACTGTCAGGGTTTTGTGACATTGTGATGTTTTCTTTATCAGCTGTGCATTTACTTTCTGCTTGCTCTAGTAAATGTTTTATTACTGGGACAAAAATATCTAGCATGTGCTTTTTATTCTCCACTTCTTCCTTTGGCTGATCTGGCATTTGGATGGAGATTTGACTGGCTGGAGATTTGACTGCGTCCCTTCCTTTCACCAGCAGTTGTGGATGTAGTCGATAAAAGACTTCCTGTGGTTTTCCTCGGTATCTTTCACCTCAGACTGTTTTGCAAACCCTATTTTAGCTTCAAAGCCTCCCGGGGAATAGATTTTCCTCCGTTTTGCAAGTGGGAAGGATACAGCCCAGGGCACGTTGCTCATCCCAGCCTTTCATGGAGTCATTGGTAGAGCTGGAAAGAGAACTCGGCAACAGCCTTGTGATCTGACTTGCATGTGTACTGGTTTCAGTTAAGACAGCAACTTGATAATTCGGGACCCCTCACTAACTAGCTCTAACCTGCTGGGATTTTTTTTAAGAATAGCTTCCACTTGAATTACCTAATCATGGTCTAGGCAGAAACCTCATTGCGCGGTTTGAGCTCTGCATATTTAGTATTAAGACAAGGATTTTCCAGGGCAGATGTGGCAGGGGGTTTAGGAGCAGCTAACGGTTGAGTTCCCCTTTCCTTATCACATTTAAGGTTTATCACTCTGCACAATTAAAGATTTGAGTTTCAAAACAAACAAAAAAATAGCTCCATAGTCTGAAGCTGCCATCTGCTCCCTCCCTTCCTGGAGCTGAGCTCGCTGCCGATGGGAGCTGGCCCTGTATGTGGCTTATGTTGGGTTTCTCCCCTTCTTTTTAACGCATCCCTCTGCTCTTCGATAGGATTATTGAAATTCCTCACCCCTCTCTCAGCTACCAGGAGCCTCTTGAGACTTGAGTGAGTAAATATGGATCACTGACCGAGAGCTATAAAAGTCAGTTCGCAGGTCCATGTTAGATACATAAGAGGGTTGATTCCTTCTCCGCAGAACAAGGTAGCAGTGTGAGCGGCGTGCCAACTACCCTGAAAGAGAATCTCTCTCTTTGCAGTGGCAGGGTGTGCTGCTTTCTTCTAAAGAGACCAGAGCCCGACTCACAGCTGAGCAAATCAATTACAGGAAGCTCAGGTCTGTTTGTGAAGTGTAACCCTGGGATTCTGCTCCTGCCTCTGTGCCTGCGCATCAGTCACCCCCTCTGCCTCTCGTCCCCCAGGGTGGGGCAAACGCTGCCACCACCCAGCTGTGCTGGGAGCCCTCTTCCACGTCGTACAGCGCTTGCTTTCTTGGATGGGAGGTGGTGCGGGTGTGTCTGATTCTGCACCATCTTCTGGACCGTTAAAAGAATGTGAATCCTGGAGCCCTGCCCTTCCCTGACACGCCTCCTGGCCTTCTGGCTGGCCGTCCCTCCAGTGCTTTCTAATCCTCGTGACTCATTTCGTATCTTAGCTTTTCACTGGAAGATCTGGGAATGCACAGAATTAGTTACATGTTCTCTGTCACTGTCTTTATCACGAAATTACTGCCTTGAAGGAATGTGTCTCATTAGAGCAGGTAGGAAGAAAATTCTCTGTGCTACCACCAACAAGCTGTTTCATTTTAACTGGCATATGTACCCCCTCTCCCAACGACGTCGTAATTCTCCCCTGCCCTGTGGTCTGACTGACCTGTCTGGGCTGGGCACCGCAAGCTCCTGGGGAATGTCTTTTCCCATCAGGGTGATGAGCTTTCCCAGGCAGTGCATGTGTAGCAGAGTGGGCAGGGGGAAGTCGGGGCTGCCCTGTCGCCGACAGCGAGAGCAGACCCGGCTGGCTGTGAACGGGGCTGGGTTTCCAGCCCTTTACACCTTCTACTGTCCTCCAGTACCCACTCGCTGTGCATAACACCGTGGAGTCCGTAATGGAGTTTGAGGACAGAAGCAAGCCGTACAGACTGTCTCTTTATTCACTTTTTAGCCTGCAAAAAGATGTACGGGGCCAAGGCTCTCGCGTGCAGTGGTCTGTGTGTTTACAGACAGCCGCGCTGTAAAGCCTGGGGCACCCAGGTGTTTCGCTGCGCCCTTCCCAAGCCGTAAAGCTTGGCCTCCCTCCCTGGGCCCATCGCATCCCAGTGACTCATGCTCCCTGTCGGTGGGTGAGCGTTGCGTGCTGGGCTTCACAGGGTCTGCGAGCTGCACGAGGATGCAAGTAAGGGCAGGGTGAGCTGCAGGATAGCTCTGCGGGCACTGTTCGCTCTGCCTGCCCCGGGCTGTACAACGCAGGAATTGGTGCTAAATAGGGGAGTCAGACTTCGGGACTATGAGCTCATTGAATCAGCTGTAGGCACACTGGAGCTGAAGTCGCCTTCCAGACTGTCGAGGTAAGACTGGGCCTGGAGGATTGTTTCCTGGTGATGATTCAAGGCTTTGCATGCACAGGCATCACTTACATCAATCACTTGCGCGTGGAAGGGAATGAGGTTTTGAACTGGCTGCTCGTTTTTAGGCCAGGTAGGTAGAAGGAGCGAGAGCCCGTGGTCCCTTTGCACACTGGCTGTGAGGGAAAGGGAACGGTGGTGTTCCAGCTGCTATCCCCTACCCCAGCTCTCCATGCAAGCGTTAAAGCAGCCCAAAGCGTGAGGATCAACGTCTTTCCAGGCACAGCTGGAAGTCCGGATGGGAGAAACACCGTTCACTTCACAGCATCGTCTCCAGCTCTTTGTTTAGGTTGGGGTGACGCTGATTCAGGCCTGTTAAGTCCACGATGTTTTCCCCACAGGCTTTCTGGCTCATCTCCTGGGTTGGACAGGGCAAAAAGTGATCCGAGGCAAAGGAGCTGGGGATGTAGCCTGGCAGGCTGGCGCGGGCAGGGAGCAGCAGCCCCCGCTGCTGCGTGCCCCCTGCCCCTCGCCCCGCGAGGCTCATGCTGAAGCTCGTGGTGGCGTGGGAGGCCAGCCCGCCGTAGCCGCAGC